TCAGTGTCTATTTCAGTGCGCAGCAGCTTTTTCCACATAGTCTAATGCTTTTTACACATAATTAATGTTCTCTAATCCAAATTGTTGCATTTCTAAATTAGAGTAATGAAATTAACATTTGACTTATACTCAGCCAACAGCAAAAAGGCTCGCAAAAATAATGAAGAACAGATGAAGGGGAGATGGCCACAATACCGAGAATTGGAAGAATATTAAAATCCAACAGGAAAAAGAATAACTGTTGCTTTTGTATTTGTAGGAAATAAAGATGACCAAATAAATTGGAACAGCTGTTGTGGTGGTATATATATATATCTTGAAGTACCCTTCCATCTGGCAACCTTCCATTCCATACAGTGATCAGCTTCATTTTCGATGGGTTTGTGCTCCAAAAACTACACAAATATTTTAAGAAAGATCGTGAGAGCGAGACACACTTTCCTCACCGCTCTGCACACAGCGGCCTTACTAATGTGCTCTGCATCCCTGATGTTATATAGAAAACGACCATTTGAAAATTGTAGCGCTCAAATAAATATGCATGCGGATGTGGCAAAAAAATTCAGAATAATCCTCTCCCGATGTAAATGTAACTCCCTAAGAATTAATGCAGCCTCCTCATCAACAGGATTCTGTAGGCCTTTAAAAGCACATGCCGTTTTTTTTTCACTTTCAGAGTGTCTGCATGATGAAAATATGTGCAATGAATGAATGTACCTGCACTGCAAAAATGCTTTTCTTACTTAGTATTTTTGTCTTGTTGTTTCCAGTCAAAATATCTAAAGACTCTTAAATCAAGATGCAATTTCTACCTAAGAAAAATGACAAATGTATTTAGTCTTTTAAGTGTATTTTTCTTATTTTGCAAATAATCTGACAATATGGTAAGAAAAATTATTGTTTCCATTTGCATTGTTTATTTTTCTGGTTAGGGTTAAGTAAAATGCACTTAATTTAGATTCCCAAATACTATGAAATGCATTTTTTTTGCAGTGTGAATGAATGAATGAGGTATTTAAACATCGCTTACACTTTAAAAAGGGGTAGAAGACCGAAAGAAACTCGGGGTTTACCGAAGAAAACCTGCTCCCGACCAGGTTAGGTTCACAGCGTAAGTTTCCATGGTAACCAAATCCGAGTATAAGTTACCTCTCTTTGAGAAACGGGCTTGATTTACCCTGCTTTCTCAGGTTTGACAAACCTTCCATTCTGAAATGGAAAACCCAGTTTCCCTCATTTCAGGGTTAACATAATCAGAATTTTCACTTAACCTCTTTTCTGAAACGGGCCTCTGAACTGACAGGGGTGCCATGATTCAAACATCACACTCCGAACGTGTAATACAAGGATGAAAGAGCGCCTGTCCCAAGTGAACTCGAACCGTACACTCACACAGAGACAAGATGATACATGAGTGTTATATTGTGAAATAGTATAAAATAATTAAATAATAAAGTAATACATCAATAATATATACAGTATATTAAGAGTTGAATTGAAGAGTTAATTTGCAAAAACAGAACTCTGTTTTTATACATTTTTATAAAACATTTTTTATTGTGCATTCCAAGTAACATCAATCAAACTACAGTTGGGTAGTTTTGATTAAGTAATAATAACAAAGGCTTGTGCACACCAGAACGATTATCGCGCGTGATTATCGCCGACGTTAAACGCCTCGTGACTAAACAAAGGGCGCCAATGTGAGTGTGCACACCGGCACGTCATTTTTTAAATAACGCCTCAGGCTCGTTTTTTTGGTTTGACGCACCGCGTTAAAAACTGGCCAGCATCGTGCGTGCTACGAAAAGACTGGTCTGTGCGATGAATAAATTTACCACTGTAGCGCACGTGCGATACAGTTTTGCATGTTCATAACACAGCCGCTTAATAGTGTGAAGTGATTCCGTTGTACTTGTTTGTGTGTGTGAGATTGATTATACTTGGTAGTTAGGGGTGTGCGATATGACGATTTTTGATCGTGGACGATTAAAATGTCTCCACGATCTGCTTTTGAAGAAATATCGTTGTATCGTGCTACAGGCACATTCTGTTAGCTGCAGTTCTGGCTCCTCTGTCTCAATATACTGTACAATGCCACATGCATTCACATCAGTGTTAACTCAGCGGTAGTTAATCTCACGGGACACTGCACTTATGCGCAATCACAAAACAACAGTATTTGCATCTGCTTTAAAGCCATACTGGTTAAACATTTCATTCACGGGCTGTTCTGCATATGCTTTTTATGAGCGCGTACTCATGAAGCGCGCTCACACTGAGAGCCTGTCGAAAAGCGCCTGATTATTGGACTAAGTCGTCTTTCGCGTCTGATTGATTTTGCGTCTAATACTGTCAAAAACACACAAGGTTTACATATAAACACAGCTGGTTATGTCTAAAATGAAAGTAAACAGTTGAGAGAGAAACGCGTGCAGCTCTTAAAGGGACAGTAGCTACTAAACATGCTGCCGACTGTCATTATTCACTCTCTCACATTTTGACCCAAAGCTGTATTAATTTATTTCTTGTGCTGAACACAAAATAAGATATTCTGAAGAATGTGGGTAACCAAACAGTAGCTGGTCCACATTGACTTTGACAGTAGGAAAAAAATACCATGGAAGTCACTGTGGACCATCAACTGCTTGCTTACGATTTTTGATCGTGGACGATTAAAATGTCTCCACGATCTGCTTTTGAAGAAATATCGTTGTATCGTGCTACAGGCACATTCTGTTAGCTGCAGTTCTGGCTCCTCTGTCTCAATATACTGTACAATGCCACATGCATTCACATCAGTGTTAACTCAGCGGTAGTTAATCTCACGGGACACTGCACTTATGCGCAATCACAAAACAACAGTATTTGCATCTGCTTTAAAGCCATACTGGTTAAACATTTCATTCACGGGCTGTTCTGCATATGCTTTTTATGAGCGCGTACTCATGAAGCGCGCTCACACTGAGAGCCTGTCGAAAAGCGCCTGATTATTGGACTAAGTCGTCTTTCGCGTCTGATTGATTTTGCGTCTAATACTGTCAAAAACACACAAGGTTTACATATAAACACAGCTGGTTATGTCTAAAATGAAAGTAAACAGTTGAGAGAGAAACGCGTGCAGCTCTTAAAGGGACAGTAGCTACTAAACATGCTGCCGACTGTCATTATTCACTCTCTCACATTTTGACCCAAAGCTGTATTAATTTATTTCTTGTGCTGAACACAAAATAAGATATTCTGAAGAATGTGGGTAACCAAACAGTAGCTGGTCCACATTGACTTTGACAGTAGGAAAAAAATACCATGGAAGTCACTGTGGACCATCAACTGCTTGCTTACTCACATTCTTCAAAAATAACTTCTGTTCAACAGATGAAATAAACTGATTCAGGTTTAAAACAACTTGAGTAAATGATGGTATACAAATTAAACACTATGACAGAATTGAAAGACAGATGCCAGAATTTCTATTTTTGGTGAACTATTCTTTTAATGTTAATAAAACAACAAAACACAGAGAAAAATTACTCACTGCTCTTGACTGATGTGTTAAAGTGTAAGAGGTGTTATGTTTCTGCACTCTTCCATTTTTAGCAAATTAAGAAAACTTTGTCTAAAAAGAGAGTTTTTGATGGTTTGTATTTTTTTGTGCTCTGTATGCAACATCAGTGCCTGTTTAAGTGATGAACTCCATTACTTCTGTTTGTTTTCAGACATGATAACAGACGTTTTATACTTGTGCTACAACTTTTTGGCCTGTGCTACAAAACTTTCAACCTCTGTAGCACCAGTGCTATGTGAAAAAAAAAGTGAACGTACAGCCCTGTATATATATATTAATATATATTATATAACTATTAATATAGTTATAATCAGTGGTGTAGTGGTACCTGGAGAAGTGGGTATACTTTTAATTTATGCCCCATGACGGCAAAGCCGACTGATAAAGAAGTGGGTATATGCCGTATACCTGCGTTTACCCTCCACTACACCACTGGTTATAATATTATATAATATATAATATTATAATATTAATATATTAATAAACTGTTTAAATCATTATAATGAGCCTTTAATTGCCTACATAGCCATAAGTGCTTAAGCAGACGCATAACCCTACGCATTGCCACAGCGCACCGACAGAAGTAATGTGTCAGTGAAAAACAGTAAGGAGACGGCATTAACATTTTAATAATTTGATAAATTAGTGCTTTCTTTGTTCTCTGTTTAAGAGATTAACTTGGCGACACTTACTCGTCATCTCCGCAGTAGTGATGCAGTGATTTATGGATACCATAAATCTGAGAATATTTGTTTTCCATTTGAATTGGTTCATTTGAAAGTAGACATTTCACTCTCTCTATATATATTTTTAATGTCTGTAAGGCAAAGATATACACAGAGTTTTGCGCTCAAGTTCACAGACCGAGACGGCAGAAAGCGCATCTTGTTTGCTTTCATTATTTCACAAAAGTGCGATTTGTTGTTATTGTGAGTGCACACAAATAAACGTGGAGTCTTTACAGATTTGAAAGATGTATTACTCTTAGAAAATATCTCTGTTTTGCCTACAAATGTAATGAATCAGAGAGTGTGTGGTTTATTTATGGAGTTGGGTTTAGCCCTGATGAGAATAACGAATATCAATCTATCGTCTATAGCAAGAGCCCATTCTCTCTTTTATGAACTGCCTCACATGATTCAAGAAAGGAACAAGGCTACAATATCACATGTCTCAGTCTAAAGAGTCGTATTATTTAATCCTTATTACTATTTTTCTTTTATCACAAATCATTTATAGTTAGTTAAACACATTTTTATGTCAAAAGAGACCTGAAGCTTACCTTTTTTCCCATTTTGTTCCGCTTTTATGTACTCTTGTCTGAGAGCACGGGGTATATTATTTAACCAAAGTTGGTAAGTTCCCTTAGCTCTTCTTAACTATAGTAACTGATGGGCAATAAAGAATAACATGTATGTTTTACTGCGTCTTTCAGGTGATGAGCAGCTTTCCTCTTCAGTGTCTTTGCACATCACAGTCCTTGACATCAATGATAACGTGCCCACCCTGTCACAAGACTATCAGCCCTATGTGTGTGAGGACACACAGGCAGGAGAGGTAACACACACAAAGACAAAGTTTAAATCTTTCAAATTTTTCATTGGCTGAGACAATATAGAGCTTTCTCTGTCTCTAAAGAGAATTGCTCGCTCATTTTGCTCACCCCTTTTAGATACAACACCTGTTTAGTTCAATGAAGTAAAGAAATCAAGGAAAGATGAACCGCTAACAATGGCCTGGTCCTGGTTAAGCTGCACTGGTGTATTGAAAATATATAAAACACATACAGAGTTAACCAACATTTTAACAATCACTAGATTTATGTATGCAAATAATAGTTAAAGTATGTCCTGTTGGCAAGGATCTAACTATTTGAGATTGAACTGTTAATAAATTGAGGTACATGCACAGATTATGTGTTCTATGTATGTCTCACTTAAAGCTAATTGAGTTGATCAGTGCCACTGATGCAGATGATCCTGTAGACGGCCATCATTTCTATTTCTCCATGATCCCAGACAAACACATCAACCCCAACTTCACCATCAGAGACAACCAAGGTATGTCACAACATGAGCTTTCTAAGTTTAGAATGGCTGGTTTCACACACCTTACACCTGCGCACAAACAGTAAGTGGTGCATATTTATTTTGTTGCCAATGTTAAGTATAGATTATTCACACAACAAATGTGAGCAGCACTGTGCTAAACAGTCTCGCCCAAGCAGCGAGTAGAGCTCCATGCTGAACTCAGCAGAAAATATGTCTGCCAGGCACATGCACACAGACAGCACTTTTTAATTACCTGTGGTAAACCTGACTGAATCTAGATGATTTTAACAGTATATAGTTATAGTTTGAAGTTATTATTTTTTTTTACAATAACAATTTGACTTCTGACTTATTTAACATGAAAAAAAACTCAACATAGTACCTTAGAAATCACATGTACACTGCTCAACTTAAAAAAAAAATAAAATTAAGAGAACACTAAATCAACACATTATAACACTAATGCCGAGTTCACACTGCACAATTTTCAAAGTCGTCGGATCACTGTTGTTTTCACACTGCATGACAATCTGGGGTAGCATTCAGTTGCTGCTGTGTTCACATTGCACGATGTATCAGCGACAGTAGCTTACTCACTGCATGACTTTACAATAGGAAGAATCGCAGACAACTCTGTCTGGTCCGCAAACTACATTTCACAACCAAACGCACGCGAAAAGTGATAAGTGAAATAACGCAAGATCACTCCTTTCCGAACTTCCCGCTGCCTTGTATCTTGCTCTCTCATTGGCTGCAGGTCATCGCCGATGTAGTTTTCAGTCAGAACTCATTTCACACTGCAGGCGATTCTCTCAGATTGTGTCTTTGATAATACACACTGTGTGATTGTCACTCGCGTGAACGAGCACCAATTTGCCTCAGATTTTAGACATTTGTCTGTGATTTTTCAAAACTTGACGGTGAGTGAAAATTTGGGCTAAAATCGTGCAGTGTGAACTCGGCATAAGTCAGTTAAACTTCATGGATATCAGGCCATGTCCACACGTACACGGGTATTTTTTTAAACAGAGTTTTGCCTTCTTCCGTTTAAAAAAAAAAAATCTCCGTCCACATGAAAACGCAAAATGTTGGCCAATCAGAAGCCTAAAAAAGTTTCCAGTAAGCGGAGATAACAGCGCATGCTCCGACGTCACATGCCAAAATCTTCGGTTTCGCCGTCTACACGATAACACTGCAACCGGAGTTTTTGAAAATCTTCACTCTGGCAGCAGTTTTAAAAAATGTTCGGTTTCAGTGACCTGGTGCTGCGTTTGCATGTGGACGAATGGCCAAACTGCATAGAAAAAGCTGCGGTTTTGAAAATACCTGTGTTCGTGTGCACAGGGCATCAGTCTGTCCAGTTAGGAAGCATAAGTTATTGTGAATCAGTTTCACCTGCTTTGGTGCAAATGAAAGTGACAACAGGTTCACTGGAGAGGCAACAGCAATACAACCCCTAAAAAGGGAATGGTTCTGCAGGTGGTCTCTCCTTATCCTTCCTGACTGATTTTTCTCTAGTTTTGTGTTTTGTTAGCGTCCTTCTCACTACTTGTAGCACTACTTGAGGCAGTACATGCAACCCAGTCAGTTTGCACAGGTAGTCCAGCTCCTCCAGGATGGCATATTCATATGTGCCACCGCAAAGAGGTTTTGGTTTGGAGGTTTGATCGTTTTGTTTTCAACTTGAATATTTCATTCATTGAGATCCAATGTGAGATTTAAGTGTTTCCATTAATTTTTTGAGCGTGTACCACGTGTTTACATGATGTACTGTGTGTATATATAATTGTGTCATAATCTGAAACTGTCACAGATAACACAGCTAGCATTCTGGCACGGCGGAGCACCTTTACCCAACATGATCGCACACACTACCATCTTCCTGTGGTGATCAGAGACAGCGGTTCCCCCATTCTGTCCAGTACCACCACTCTTACCATCAGAGTGTGTGCGTGTCAGCCTACAGGTCACTGCCCATCGGGTGGCAAGGAAATCTCTCTGGATGTCAGCATGCAGATTTTACTTGGCCTGTCTGTTTGCCTCATCATACTTACAGGTGAGCCATTATGATAATTGGCATTAAGAACATCTCATTCAAAGTGACTATTTTTAAAGTGGTATTTATGTAACCATAGATAGATTTCGCCATTTCTGATGAATTGTGGGATACATATGTGGTTGCATCAGTACTGAATTGCAAGACTCTCTTTTCTAGCAGAGCTCTTGTGTTAATGAGGGAATATTCTCTACACTCCAAACAGGCAAGTATGACAGAATCCAGGACAATCTAATAAGCTCTCATAATCAATATACTGATAAACCAGTGTGACCACACACTAATATAATAACACTGATGCTTAATCAAGTATCAGAATGCTAATGATATACTGTATGTAAATTAAAATGCATATATAATTAGCATATGTGCAGTACTGAGTGAAACATAATGAGCATTTCTCTTTAGTCAGACAGCCATTATCTTGATCACTCTGTCAGACTACATTTTGTGATAATGACCATCTGACTATACATTATTGTTTACTTGTGTTTTTAAATAGTGGTGCAATATTTGTGCTACAGTCCTGTCTTGTGTTTCCCTGTTTTGTGTTTAAAGTGTCTTGTTTTGTAATGTATTTGCTCTCTTTTGTTTCTGTTTTTGCTTCCTGTGTTCAGTTACTGTTTGCTTTGTTCCCTGTGCTGTCTTGTTTGCCTTCATAGTTCCCTTTGTTTGTTACCATAGCTACCCGTGTTAATCACCATATATATATATATATATACGTGTGTGTATAAAACCCTGTGTCTTTGTCTGGTGTTGTCCATTGTGGCTGTGTGTTGGTTTTTCTTCAGTTCTGTTCCTATGTTTTTTGTGGGTTTAGTTTTGTTCCTTGTGGATCTACTCCATTTTGTTTTTGTGATTGGCTGTGTGCATTTTTGTCATTTATTGAATAAGCCACTGCATTTGGATCCTGCTCTACCTCCTTTCTGAGATCACCAGCTTAACAGAACACCAGACCAAGGTATGGATCCAGCATTTAGGCTAATTCACCTTCGACAGGGCACACGCTCCCTCGAGGACCACATTCAGAATATCCTCGAAGGACACTTTGTGAATTTCTGGACCATGCCCTGCAGCTATGTGGTTCCTCCTTCACAGTGGGAGAGGTGGAGGAGGCCCCTGTCATGGGGTCATTACAGAGTCTCATTCCATCATGGCCTCCACTCCTGCGTCTCGTCCTGTCATGGCTGCTATTTCAGAGTCTCGTTCCATCATTGCTGCCACTTCTGAGTATTGGCCTGTTATGGCCAAGGAGGTCATCTCTGAATTCTCTGCCTGTCCTGTCACTGCCACAAAAGCCATCCCTGAATCCTTTGCTCATCCTGTCACGACCATGGAGGCCGTCTCCAAACACCCTGCCTGCCATATAATGACCACAGAAGTGCTCTCTGCCTCAGAGAACTCTCCTTCTGTCCAGTTATGGCCACAGAGGCCGTAACTGCCTCTGCACCCTCCACCGTGGTGGACTTCAACTCCATATGCTCTGCCGTGGGGATCTTCAGCCCCATCTATTCTGCTGTGGAGGTCATCTGCTCCACCTTGGTGGTCTTTGGCTTCACCTGCTCTGCTAGCCTTGTTAATCACATGACAGCTAATCACCTCCACCTGTCCCTTGTTCACCCTGGTTAACTCGTGTGGGTGTGTGTATATATGTACGTGTGTGTGTGTGTGTGTGTGTGTGTGTATATTATATATATATATAT